TATTTATGAAAATGGCTTGAGTTAACGAAAATTAAATCTGCCCCTTTTTCTGCTTCAATACAAATGTCACACTTACTTTGGGTCTTGTATTGAAAAATTTAATGAAACGGTTCAAAAAAAGGCGTTGAAGACATGGAAAAGAAAAATGTTATTTGTAACTATTTTCGTGAGCAATGGTTGAGGACATCAAACAAACAAAATCGACGGATGGTAAAAAATATTTACTGCCTACTGACGCGCTATTTATCATACTGATAGCATGATCAGGGCATAACTGATAAGGCCGACATCAAACCGCCTTACCAAAAAAGAAAACAGTACACAAAGTTATGAACAACAAGTAATAAATACGAGTTAATCATGTCGCCTTAGCTCTCACGCATCGAAGTCTGAGTTACATCTTGCGCTTATTGTATTATACTGCACACTCAGCCATCAGTTGGGTCAAGATGAAGTGCAGACACAAGAGGCGCTTTCATTGCATAGCATGGCCGTATCTTTTGTCCGTTCTGGTACGACTAGACCAGAACACCAAGCAACTCCTGTTACTCTTAAGTGACAGATCTACTATCTGTTCCTCTGCTGGTTGTGCCGAAGCAAGTGGAGTAAATTCCTTACTCAGGAGAAATCATTATAAAGCAAAGATCGTACCTTTAACGGATTCGTGTCCGGCGGCACCTCCGTAGTTTGAAGCCAGCCACTCGGGCACTGTGCCACTACGACGGAAGAAAATGTATCGCAATACTTGACATATTCTAAGTTTCTGCACCAGATCATGAAAGGATTAATCCTGAATGGTCTTTGTCAATCACAGTTACACCACTTGACTAAAACCGCATCCCCAAAAGTTGCCTGTTTGGCAATATCAAAGTTATCAGAGTGTCGAGAGCATACTGAAAATAAGTGTTATTTAATCACCTCGTTCACTTACCGGTAGTTCTTCCCCGTGTAAAAGAAAATAATGTTGGTAACCACTGGAATATTGGCTTTCATTACACTTTCATGAACGAACCAATGTGGCGCTCTTTCTTTCATAAAGTTCACGGTGGGGCGCTGATCTAAATTTCTGTACCAGGAAACCAGTATCAGTCAGGAGTACCTTATTGTTAAAATCAGGGTCTACAGAAGAAAAGGACTGTATGAGATATCGTTTCCTCTCCCTCCTCCTCAGGGGTACTCACTTATCATCCTTGGAAGGAAGACGAGTGACCCTACAGGTTCTCGAACCCGGGATCTCTCAGTTCTGAGTCTGACGCTCAACCGACTGAGCAACCCCAGGTCTTCCTACGTAATCTTATCACCCGTTTATCACCTCATCGACTGACCACATATTCGACGTTTTCGTTTTTGAACTCGTTGTTGGCGCCTAACTATATTCTTGATCCACGGCAGAGGGCATTACGCAAACAAAACCAACGGGTGGCAAATATTTTTATTGTCTGTCGGTTTCGCTACTATATCATCTATGTATTTATATTAGCAAATCTGCATAATATCAGCATATATCTGGAGAAATTCAGTTTCGAAAGAAATCATGGAAATTTCATTTAAACAAATGCTAGCGGGGGATCTCATTGGTTTATATCCTTGGCATATATGCGTTCACGGTGATCTTAATCGC